TGCTCGTGAACTTTATAAGGTTGTTTATGTCCCTGAATAATATTACCAGTACCAGCAAACTGTACTCCATCGCAGGATAAATTACAAGATAAAAATATATTTTCTGCGTTTATTTTTTCATTCTCTCTAACATTATTGCTCTTCAGCCCAGGTAAAGATCTCAACCAAAAGTTATCGATACGCCCCGTCTTCCTAGATTCAATCTTGCAAAATAAATTTCGTATATTAGTGTATCAAGGTTATCAGAAAACTAAAAAGTAGTGGGTAATGGGATTGTCACAGGCTGGCTACAGCGGAGACGTAGTCCATAACCATGCGAAGATGTAGTTCCATGGGTAGCTGTAGCCAACAGCGGAGACGTGGTCCTTAACCATGCGAAGACGTAGTTCCATGGGTAGCTGTAGTAGCGGAGACGTAGTCCGTAACCATGTGAGGCGTAGTCCCATGGGTAGCTACTGAATGTGACCTGCTAATCTGCAGTTATTATAGCTCATGAAAGTATATACTGACCTTGAATTGATTTTCGAGACGTATCGCATTTTTCCTTTCCTCTTCTGTGCCATTTTCTTTTATCTTCTGTATTTGTTTGCAAAAACTTCTTGTTACAACTGCTTTATCTAGACCCAAATTACTATCTTTCCACGCTTCATGATATTGAATTGCATCCCAGTCTTGACAGTGAATTTTCAAGAAATATTCGAAACCAGGTCCGGGCTCGCTGATGTCAGATAGCATAGTTTATCAAATTAACGCTTCGGGAAAAGTTTTTTTCTCTTTATCGTTATCCCGGTATCAAATATGGAAGATGCACAAGGTCTCACAAATAAGTTATCGTTATACATAAAAGCCTTATTAGGCTAAGACTCTCGCAGAACACAAGTTGTACAAATTACGCATGGAGGCACGTAACCAAATTCTAAATTGCCAATTTAATTATCCGAAAATTAGCGTTTAGTTCAGTAGTTAGACTCGAAGTTTCTTAGAATATTGTCACATTCACATTGCCTATATATTCCATTCGCTACTTTTTTGCATGTTTTGCAATATAGGTGTGAATGATGATTGCATTCGTCACAAACCTTACACCCATGCTTCCACCCTCTAAAGATATGCCACTTTTCGATGTAATTTTTCCTGCGATGGAGTACAGTTTGCTGGTACTGGTAATATTATTCAGGGACATAAACAACCTTATAAAGTTCACGAGCA